TTGAAAATAAAAACTTAAAAAAATATTGCACAAAATAATTAGGCATTAAAACATAATAATAATAATAATAATAATAATAATAATAATAATAATAATAATAATAATAAAGAGATTGATTATTAAATAAAAATAAAAAAATAAAGATTAATGTTTGACTACATTTAATGAGGTGGTGCAAATAGCACTTTTTTATTTGCACCACCTATAAAGTTATTACACCTATTAAATAGGGGGTGTAAATAGCAAAATGGATGGTGCAAATAGAATTTCCCTAGCAACACCCATAAGTAAATGTAGAACTGTTAATAATTAAATCCATAAATAATGTAAAAATGTAAGATAGTTAAATTAATGGACATTACATCTAATTTTACTTGTCATATTTATTAATTAAATGTAAATAAATTATTTCTTATTTATTTTTTATATTTCCTTGTAAATATTAAATTTAATTGTAAGATGGAGGGAAAATTAAATTTATGGAGGGAATATTAAATTTTTGGAGGGAGTAATTGCCATTTGCCAGCGAATTTGTAGAGTACACGTGGATATTGATTTGTAAGAAAAGACGGTGGAATTTGTAGAGTACAAAGGGGTGATAGCGTCAATTGGCGTGGAGAAAGGACCAATGGGCTGTGATTTTGTCTTTGTTCAGATGGAACGACACGTGGATATTGATTAGGGAAATCGTCATTATGCGCGCATCATATAATGTTGAGATAATTTTATGCATTTTTAGCACATTTTATTAATAAAATTTTAGTTTCGTATGCACCCGTCACCAATTACGTACTCGCCTTTCGCCTCGGATACTTTTTTTTTTTTCTCTAATTAAAATTTGAATATAGGTTATGTGTGGCGCCTTTGGTTTATGTTAATTTTTTATTTTGTTTCTCAATGATTGACAAAATGTGGAAATTTTACTATTTCAAAATAATAATGGTATGACTTACCTCCCTTTTATCTGGTTGCAATTCTTGGTGATGATATAATGAATTAAGTTCTTTTCTCCAAAATAATAATGGTATTTTTAATTTACTAAATAAAAGTTAGAAAAGTTTATACAAAGATGTACCATTATTATTAGTGACGACAATACTCAATACTACTTATTACACTTACATATTTGTATCAGTTATAATAATTATCAGTACTTAATAATCTCACACATCCATTTATATTATTAACAATTGAAAATTTTATATATATAAAAAGTAGTGACATATTTATAATTATGATTATGACTATACTTTTGAAAATGATTAAGGATGCATTCATGGATAATTGATAATGTATCTAGGATATATAATATTACAGTGATGTGTGTGCATTATTGATTATTTGCAAATGCATTATCATGCATCGTTATAATATGTACAAAAATGTCATTACATTTTATATTTTTTAGTGATTTTCAACCCTTGACTAATTTAGATTAATAAATAAGATTATTATTATTGTTGCTGTTGTTATTACATAAAACATGCGTTTTCACTTCAACCGAGGAAAAAAGAACAAAGAAGAAGAAAACAATAGTAATGGAGAAAGGGATGGTCTGAGTGCATCTGATGAGATGGAGACTTTAGACTTAGAATAGTGGGAAATGTGGTCTAAATATGGAGTCTAAAATTCCACGTATTTGAGATCCGAGTCATCCAAAGTGTCACTCACACCTCCATTAACAAAATTTTAACCTTCTCTCTATTTCTTTATGTTTGTTTTTATCTAATGCTGCAGACTCAATGTGATGTCACAATCTAACCCTATGGACAATTTTTATACCCTTGATATGATCAATATCACATACATATTATACATAATTGTACTCAATACTATCAACAAACATACAAATTATTATTCCAATTACTTTATAAAATTTCTAAAACTATACTCTTATCGTCAATTTTTATGTGTATGATTCAATTAACAATTAAAGTTATTTACAATTCACATTTTTATAACATTAAATTTACTCTAGTTGAGATAGTTAGACAAATAATTTAGTAACTACAAGGTGCTACAATTGACTTAGTGAGAGAGATGTTAGATTTTTTAGCATAAAAATGACATATAAAGTGACTATTTTGTGGTACAAATATATGTGGAGTCCACTTCAAATTTGGGTCGGGGTCAAAATGAATGCGAGTTCTTCATACTTTCGTAGTGAGACGTAGCAATTGATATATTGTACACTCATAACGGATAATGAAGGTGGAAAGACTTTGTAAAAAGTGTTTGTCCCATATTGGTTTTGAAGTAGGTTTGCACCAACCTTTTAAAATGTGGTTGAATTGTATAACATAGAGACTCTTTTTCGCGCTCAAAATGTACCAGTCAAATTTCAAAATAAGCTTTAAAATTTTTAAGAAATTATTTAGTCAAAGCCATCCAAACATAGGAAGATTCGTCGTAAGTCAGAATAGCGCAATAAACCAACGACTATTGGCTGCCAAATCCACTCATTAAAATAGTTCAAAGACAATAAATTCTTATCGTCTTCAATAGTGAAAGCAGGCTGCAGTGCATGTGTATTTGTATTTGTATAAATTTAGGAAGACAGAGAGTGCCCTCCTTGTGACCAGATGGATCTGTTTTTCTGCTCTGCTCCAAGCTAAATAAGTTAGTGGTCCACAAACGTTTTTTTGACTTTAAATAAGACAAAAATCTTTCCAACCCGAGCTCGTTAACCAAGTGATTAATTACTAATTAGTGTAAATTAATTTATTGGGAGAGTTGGAGACACAGAAGATACGGCGGATGTTTAGGATGGCTGTGGACTATGGTGGCGGACCACCGTAGTTAGATTTCTTGGCGATATATATATGTTATACAATACTCCATACCAATTTGTCATCTCAAATCTCAATATATTATATCATATATGGTATTCTAGTAGATAAATTAATGTTAATTATGAATAAATGTGGAGAAGTTTTAGCCATGGTGGGGGACCACCGGACCAATACCGATGTTATTAGAGGTGTAAAATTTGTCATTCAGTTTTCGTTAAAATAGTATTTTTAGGGTGTGTTTGGTTGACAAGTTTAACTATCAGGGTATCAAAGTAATTGTTATTGTTTGTTGACAGGTTTTTAGAACACTAATATGAGTTTTTTTTTATTACCCCCTTAATTGAAAAACTCATTCCATAATAAAATAAGGGTTTCAGTATGTTATTCTTCCTCATACATAATCAAACAGCAATATTGATAACCATTCATATTCCAATATACTATCAAACATGCAAAATACTTTCACAAAAACTCATTACCATTACCAAGTATTTGATACCCATTCCGATTTCGATTACCATATGCGAACCAAACACATCCTTAGTCTTATTTAATAGATACTATATTGTTAATGGATTAACAGAAAAATACAAGAACCCTACCTTAATAGTATTTGTACTTATGAAAAAGACATATTATTGTGTGGACCATGAATATAAGAAACAAATTTTAAATAGCAACAATACAATATTTGTGTACTAAATGTACATTATTTGATAATATATTTTCAATACTCAAAATGATATATTTTACATACACAAATAGTATATTTGTAGTATATTAAGTTTTTTTTTTTTTTTTTTTTTTTTTTTTCATATGTAGAACATGGTTTCCCAATGTAATAATGATTACTTGAGACATGTTTTGGCTAACCTACTTCATTTCCCAATGAGAAATGTGTTGGCCAAACCTACTCCGATCCATTCCCAATTTAAAAAGTGCAAGATTTAGTCCAATAATCATTTCAATATCGGACTAATTTGTGCACTTTTTTAGTTGGAATGAAGTGGCCAAGTGGATTGATATGATGAAATATTTTATAAGGGGGAAGAATGCTATGTAAATGTCCAAAAAAAGGGTTGTCAAATTATAATTTACACCTTAACAGGGCGTTTGGTTGGAAGGGGGAAATTATGTGGGAAAAGAATTGTAATTCCATGAGAGTTGAATTACTGGGAATAAAGTGAGAATTTAAATTCTAGTGTTTGGTTGACAGGAATAGAATTACTGGGAATTTCAATTTCAATGTTTGGTATACATGAGAATTGAAAGGGAATAAGTAGTATAAAGTCAAAAATGTCCATTATTGTTGTTAGACATTAATTTTAGGTTAAAAAAAGAAGGGGTAATTTTGACTCATCACTATCTTTTTTTCCCAGGAATTAAAATCCCAGGGGGGGACATGGGATTTTAATTCCATGAAAATGGGAGAATTGCAATTCCCTCCAACCAAACTACGGAATTTAATGACCTTTGGAATTAGGTGGGAATTAAGTGGGAAGAGAATTTAAAATCCCTCCAACCAAACGCTCTGTAAAAATCATTAAATGGGACTAAAAACTTCAAATGAAAATTGAGAGATCAACAATAGAACCAATGAATTAAAAATGTTATTTCTCCAATAAATTTTTATATTTTATATTTTATATTCAGATTTATAAATTATATATTATACAGTGGTTTTCAAAAAAATACTATATATTATACAGTGAGTAATTTTTTATGAACTTATTACTCATGGTCTGTCCAAAACAAAACCCACATCACATTACAAAAGTTTAAAACTCATAAATGGGTTAAGCCTGCAATACTCATTATAGTGAGTTGCAATATGAGTAACTTGTAACCCAACCCACCCAACATAGCACCGTGGTTGACAGGGTACATGACAATTTGTCATTATGTTAAAGTTAGAGGAAAACTATTCTTTCTATATTGATTTTTGTTTTATTTGCAATATTTATAACTCTTTGGTAAGTTCAAATGTTAGAATGCTGGATTAATTTGCTCTACACTGTACAATTAATTCTAAACACTTTCATTTTATATTTATGATAGACTTTTTTCCACCACGTCTACTATCGTTACGTACTATGGATAACATTATCAATCTCACAAATTGTGATTTTTAAAGATGAAAAAATCAATATATGCCAAGTGTTAACAAACTATTGAGTAAGAGCAAAAACAAAAAGAAAAAAAACCTTTCGGATATAGAAGTATCAAACTGAAGAGTATTAATAGTCAGACATAAAAGATATGATCTCAAGGTTATGAACACTATTCACAAACAACACAAAATGAGTAACGGAACAAATGACAATTCAATTCAAGTCCACATCCTAATAAGAGATTAAATGATCAAGACTCGTCCACTTGATCCTGCATGAACCAAAGAACAATAAATTAGTGATAGAGGATATGAATAAGGGCAATTCTCAAATAGTTGATGTGTTTTATATTGGTGGCTATTAATAGGAATTTGGGACAATATATAAAACTTAAAATCAAATTGAATTAGCTTTAATTTTGTGATATAATTACGAATACTGGACACTAACCCGTGAAGATGAACTCCAAAGAGAGAGATTGTCTCGTAGAAGTTGCATTAGTATAGTGCACTCCTCATTCACTACTGCAGTGGGCAGCTCAGCTACGGCTTCATCAAATGCCTATACAATTAGCATAAATGATCAGAACATCAATAACAAGAAGAATAACACCCTTCTATAACCAATATGTTATAGGCTTGAGTGTAACCTACATGCATTTAATGCTATATGCCTATATAGTATATACTATGATAACTTTTGAACAGTTTCAAAATCTAGTACATAAGACAAGCATGAAAATTTTGATTAGCCATATATGCAGAATATTTCCTTAACCATTCAACAGCTTTTGATAATTTAAATTATTTCAAGTTTTAGACCCATTCATGAAACAAAACACAGATTCACACAAACCATTAAAAACAAGCATGCCATTTTAATACCATAAAGATAAAGATGATGTTAAAAAGATAAACAAAACCCATGGAACTATTAAGCCAATACAAACAGATAAGGACAGGCAAAGTAGATCTAACTTACTAATAACTTGTGTAGTTTGGAAGAGCATAAACATACCCGTCTTGCCATATCACATGCCGTACTGCATGAATTAAGAATCTCATAATGAAACACTGAGAAATTGAGGGCAAGACCCAACCGGATATGATTCGTTGGAGGCAGATCGAATAGAGCAAGGTCCTATAATTACAGAACAAATATGCCAAATTAGTGACAATATAATTCAACTTCTTTCACAACGCAGTAACCACACTCTAATGAATGTAAATACAGAGCCACTGGTATTACACCCAACTTTAACACCAATTTCAAAACAACCCAACCCTCTTTCTTTAACTGGAAACTAAAGTTTTATGTATGCAATGATATAGTATAGGGCCACAGGGGACACCAACCATAAGATAGCACAATATCAAACCAAACAAACAAGATTTCAATAAATTCTTTAAGTAGTCATGCAGTGTTTTATATACACATCTGATAATGTCTTTAAAAAACTTCTAATCTCCAAAATTACACCATATAGCCTTAATCAGCATGGATGTTGAACTTGCACTCATGAAGTTAGTTGTCGTCCACAAGTATACATATAGACAAACACATGCATTAGTCAAGCTCCAACTTCTAGATTAAATTAGGCTCACGCGATTAACACAAATCCAACAAACATAAGCATAGTACAACTATAGATTTGTAGAGTAAGAGATCAGTTAGTTAAATCCCTAATTCTACAACATAATTAAAATATAGAAATCAGTTGATTCAGAACCATATTAATTGATTTGTTAAAAAAAACGACAGAGAGTAGAAACAATCCAAACCTCAGCATCCGTATAGGAGGTCATTGTAGCATCGGCAGCCTCCCTGCGCTTGTCTCCAACCAGGAATTCGGCGAGGTAGCGGTGGTAATCGCCCTTCAATTTGAGGTAAAACACCCTCGACTCGCCAGGGGGAGTCGAGGGAATGAGATTGGAGTCGAGCAGCTCAATGATGCTGGCGCAGACCTGCGAAAGCTCTGTTTCCACCGTCGCACGGTAATCCTTGACGAGGGCGACGTGATCGTCTCTCCTCCTGGTCTCCTCCTTCTGCTCGATGGAGGATATGATGCGCCACGCCGTTCTAAGGGAGCCGATGGCGTTCTTATATGCGACGGAGAGAAGGTTTCGCTCCTCCACTGTGAGCTCACCGGCAGGAGTGCAGCTGCGAACCAGCTTGCCCATGAACTTCGCCATATCCTCGTATCGCTCCGCTTTCTCGGCGAGTTTCGCCATGAACACGTACTGCTCTCGCGTGAAATTATCGCCGATGGCGCCCGCCATTGCAGTTGTAGTGAGAGAAATCGGCAAGAAAGATTTACTTGGCGCTTTCAGTGAAAAGTTTTAGAGCGAGAAAGCCAGAATTCAAAAACCTTCCTAAACCAACTGCCGATTGCATTAAACTTTTATACCCGCAGATATTTTCTGTTGCTGCTTATGAAATGTGTACTAACTGAATTATTAGAGTATAACGATTTTTGAACCGCGCCAAATTTGTAACTAACTCCAGGTGTAAAGTAGTTACGTTGTTAAATTAATTCAGTCTATAACGATTTTTGAACCGCGCCAAATTCAACATTAATTACATTATTAACTTAAAATTGACTTGACGAGAGAAACACGTGATCACTATTTGAGAGTGTGAACCGAGTAAATATGGGGTAGGATATGAATTGCTATTCATATGAGTAAAAAAAAATAATAATGCTAATAATTAAAAAGATAAACAAATTCTTTTCATTCCTGTTTTCTTTTCCATTCCCCATTAAATTGCAATTCATATGGGATAAGATATGAATTGCAATTCCCTCCAACAAAACACTGTAAATTTTTATTGTCAAAGAAAAACATTGCAACTACGTTATACCAAACACCCATTAGTCATAGTGCACTAGTGTGCCGACTCATGCACATGGGGTGTAAATAGAAGACCGATGAATAATAAACCGAACATATAAAATGAGACACGTGAGAAAAAAATTATTTATTTTTTATGAAGAAAAAATATTTATTAAATTATTGTAAAACAAAATGATTAGATAAAAATTATAATTGCGAGATTAAAAGTGAAATTAGATATTGGCTTAGGTTGTGAATTTGAGAATCGGTAGGCGCGATATTGACTTTTTGTGCTTCAATTGGTTGAAAAAGTAGTTATGAATAGATACTTACATTGTAATAGAGTTAGCAGTATTAAAAAAAAAAAAGTGAAATTAGATATTCCAGCAAAATGGGCGAGTCCATTTCCCTCCAAATCCAAAATACACTTTGGAAAATTGGGGGACAGACATGTTCGGCCAACGTGCAGGAAAAGCAATGGAATGGCAGAAGGTCTCCGCCATCCCCCGCTTTTCGGAAAAAGCCGGAGGAGCAGAACACTGAACACAGAACTCTCTCTCTCTCTCTCTTTCTCTCTCTACGCCTGAGCGTTCTTTGCTCGACCTTCGGGTTTCCATTAGTCCACCTGCTCCTGGGGGACCCCGCTGCTCCCTCCCCTCTCTCTCTCTCTCTCATCAAACAAAAAACAAAACCAAAAAACGAACCGTAATCCGAAAAACACAAAAAATAGAAAAATTTCAATTCACGAGAGAAAAGGCGATCTCTCTCCCTCTGCTTTTGTCCATCATGATTATCCGTTACAATATATTTTCATTTTTTGCATTATTGTAGCTAGAAAGGTAGGCATTGTGTGTGTGTGTGTGTGTTTCGTTCTTCATTTTCTCTGATCCGCGCCTTCGGACGCAACCGAACCCTAATTGACAATGATTTGTGAGGATGTTAAATGTAGGATGATGAGTTCGGACCGAGATTTCGACTTCTATTGATTCGGAATAGTGCCATGCCTATCCGCAACGCTGATGCTTCTCACTGTTCTCAGGTATATTTCAGCTGCTGTAAGTTTGTGATCATGTATAATATGTATATGTGTGTATATATTGTTCGTCTCTGCATTTGAAATTCAGCTGCTCTAAGTTTGTGATCATGTGTAATGTGTAATGTGTATATGTGTGTATATATATATTGTTCGTCTCTGCATTTGAAAATCTATTGCAATGTTCAATGTTTTTGTGTTTCAGGGAGAAGGGGGCTTTCCACTGCCTCCAGTTGGCAATGATAACCAAGCCCAGCAGTGTCGCGGTGGAAATAAGGTAATTAATTGTGATCCTCAGCTTATACATTGTAGTTTTCAGTTAAGGTCTGTGACATATTATTATCAAAGGCTATATGCTGTAAAGTTATATTTTCTCCTTCATGGCTGTTTAGCCATTTTGCAAGGTTGATTAACTGGACAGTTCTTTTTCTTGAACAAAATTACTTTTCGTTTTGGAATGATCATTATGTATTATATCCTCCCTAGGTAAGGCAATGCCAACACTAAACTGGAATGATTAAAGTGCTGAATGCAAATTGAATAGAATAGTAGAATACTATAATGAATATTGATTTTTCACGAATGAAATACTACATTATATAGGCTAGAGCATTCTATAGTTTTAGAAAATAAACCAGGAAAAAAGGAAACCACCCATTACTACTGGAACTAGCTTGCTAACTGCAAACTCAAATCCTGATCTGGATAAGGATATCTGCTTCCTGATTCTTCTATCAATCTCATGCTTGATTGATAGAAGAACATGATATAGACTAACTAGTCACTCTTCCTGATTCAATCTCATGCTTGATGAATCTACTATCAATGTTAACATGTATCATCTGTTCATTTAGAAAAGGATTCTCATATAACTGTTTTTTTTTTTTGTTGTTGTTGTTGTTGTTGTTGTAATATATGCCTTTCCAACACAAATATGGCTGCAAGTGTATGCAGGTTGCATCATTTTTGTTGGCAGATTTATTACACTTTTCTATGAACCTAAGTTTTATATGTATACTTATATGTGTGTGTGTGTGTGTGAATTGATGACATGTTTCTTTGTTGGAGGTTCATGTTTGAGAATTTACCTGTCTGTGCAGGTGTACAAAACTGGGCCTATGTTTATATCATCCAAAGGTCTGTCCTTGCTAAATTTTGCTTAAAGAAGCTAATTTATTTATGACCAAATAAAAAAGTTTGTAATGTTTTGATGCTTGCTATCTTTCTCACTTATCGATATGCTTATTAGCCTCTTTCTTTCTAGGTTATTATTGTTGCTGTTATGATTTTAAATGGTTTTAACCTTTTCATTTTACCTTATAGCTAGAATTAGAATGTATTGCATTGTCTATATTTTTTGTGAACTTCATTGGTAAAGTTAGCATGATTGCTTATTATACTGTAGAATAAGCATAAATCTTGAGTTCATTAAGAAAAGTGAAGGAGTCTTGTTAAGTGTCTCACATTGATAAAATAATAGAGAATATATGGGTTTATAAGGCTATAGATTAGACTAGCTAATTCGTTGGATTCAATCTTTTAGTGTGGTTTGGCCCATGTGCATTATAGTCCAGTTGATGACCCTAGTCCAATCTTAAATTATAACATGGTATCCGAGGATTCGGAGCATGTTCCGTACCGGTTAGATTCAAAATGGCCTTTAGACTAGCCAATTGGTTGGATGCAATCTTTTAGTGTGGTTTGGCCCATGTGCATTATAGCCCAGTTGAGTGACCCTAGTCCAATCTTAGTTTATAACAAGTCTTTTCAAGTGCATTACTGAAGTTAAGTAACCTATGTGGCCTGTTTGGCCAGGCTGCAACTTCTCTAGAAAGATCTATTTTGGTAATAGCTTTTAACAATGTTGAAAAAATCGCTAGGCGCCCTCTAGGCGGCTGGGGACCGCCTAGAGCGCCTAGGACGCCGATTAATCGGCGCCTAGGCGCGATTTTTGCAACAGTGGCTTTTAAAGAACTTGTTCAAAAAGTATTCAATATGTTTAGTTGAATACATTTTGAAAGTTTTTTTTTTGATATAGAAAAGTTGTTTGGTATTTGACTATTAAAACTCTTATATTAAAGAGGGTCAAAGTTACAACAAAGGGCATGCATTTTTTAAGTTAAAAGTTAAAATTCATTAACTTCAGCTTCTGTTGAGCAGTTTGAGCATTTTTTTTTTTTAAAACCCTCAGCTTGACTGACTACTTGCCACCTCGTCGCTGGCGCTGCACGTACCCCTGCCCCACAAATGCATCAGAGTTTCGGAAGTGTCATTAATGCATTGTTAAATTACCCAGGCTTATTAAAGATCTTATTTTGAAAAGCTTTAATTTCAGGCTTTTGGCTTATAGGAGGTTCTGCCTCTAATTTATTTCAAAAAGTTTTCGTCAATTAGTTATGTTTGGCCCAACTTTTAGCTTATTGGAGAATATAAACTCCAATAAGCTGTGGGCCAAACAAACACTATATAGTGTTTCTCAAGTTTTTAATATATTGGCATACACAACTCTTACATGTTCTAAAGCTTGCATTGATAGATAATTCATTCAACAATCCTAGTTCCTCTTGGCTGCAAAAAAGATTTTTGTGTTATTTATCTCCATTCATACACTCTATATAGTACTTGATACAGTAATTGTTCTAAAAAATAATGTCTATAAAAAGGTTCTGTTAATTATTGATGATTTGATGCATATCAAAGAAAAACTACACTTACTGCATTACTGCAGTTGCTTTTGAGCATAACGAGAAGTGTCAATTTCTGTAGTTGGCATTGGATGGACAACTTGGAAGAAAAGATGGTTCATTTTAACTCGTACTTCATTGGTTTTCTTTAGAAGTGATCCTGTAAGTTTCCTTTCTTAATTTAAAGATGTATATCACAACTTGTAATTATTTATGAATTAGTTTTAATTCTTCACTCTGAGGCATGAGTAGTTTTTATTCTAGCCCCATCTCCTAGGCCATTGTCTTTTCATATTTTAAAAGTTAAGACTATGTAGTTAGGACTTTGCTTACATCTTTCTTCCACAACGCCCTAGGTCTAACAGTAAGTTGTTTAGTCTCTTAAGTCTTATCTTACAAAAATAAAAATTTGTCTATTTTCATTAAACTGTTACACATTTCAGACTGTTGCTCCTAAAAAGGGGGGTGAAGTAAATTTAACACTTGGAGGCATTGATCTCAACAGTTCAGGCAGGTAGGCTTTTATCAATCTCACTTTTATAGTTGTGCTTAGCATTTCTTATTTTTCTTTTTAGTAGAGTTTGATAGGAGTTGGCTTTCCTTATAGGCTATTTGTTATCACTTTGTAATGAATTTACAGTGTGGTGGTCAAAGAAGATAAGAAACTGTTGACTATTCTCTTTCCTGATGGTCGTGATGGGCGTGCTTTCACACTAAAGGTGCCAAATGCCAATCTTCTTTATGCCTTTTGTTTTAAATTCTTTCATTTTGTTGGTAGTTTTCCTCATATCCATTCTTGCTGTAATTGTAACTTGTTAATACTTATTTTCATCTTCAGATAATAATTAGGAAGATAGGACATATGTCTATCTCTAAACTGTGATTCACATTCCTATATTATCATTCTTGACACCATGGTCACTAGCACTTAAAGTTTTGGTTTGTGTCTAGTTGTCTCATGTTAGAGGTTTGTTATTTTAGGCTGAAACATTAGAAGACTTGCTTGAGTGGAAGGCTGCACTAGAAGAAGCTTTAGCAAATGCACCTAATGCTGCTCTTGTAATGGGACAAAATGGAATGTTCAGGAATGATCAGGGGAATGCACTTGATGCTTCAGACCAATGTATGTTTTTTAATAATATGGCCATGATCCAAATAAGTCGTTTGATATAGCTCTTTTGCTTCTTGTTTGTAATAATTTAACTGTTATGAAGTTTCTGGTTCATAGCACTCCACTTGCTCTAATTATCAATAGACAGAGGGAAGAGTAAAAGGAAAAGGAATGCCTGATTTGTCAGTCTTTTGCAAGAAAAATGTGTCTGATTTGTTCTTTGACTTACGTATGCAAGCTCTACAAATTTTGGGGTTCAACAAGTAGGATTTATCTAAATTTGTAGTAGGGAAATTTGGCAGCATCTGGTTTTCAGTGGTTAATGTAATTTCAGTAAAAGAAGTTCTATTTGGAAGACTAAAATGGTTAATAAAATTTGCTTTTGAGCTCTTTCATTCTTTTATCTATTTATTTCAAGACAAAAGTTGTATGGGGACCAATGGGGTTCTTTTATGTTTGCAGTTATTATGCACAAATATGCATCTGCTTTCTATTTTAATTATCTTTCTCTTGGAGTTAATTTGACAATGCGATTGTGCTTTTGGTTTTCACTTCTAGCTAAGGATAGACTGCCGGTAAAATCATTAGTAATTGGTCGGCCAATTTTACTTGCTTTGGAAGATATTGATGGAACTGCGTCATTTTTGGAGAAAGCCCTTAGATTTGTAGAAGAGTATGGTAAGGTTCTACTGCATCAATATCATGCTCTTATGGTATATATCTCTCTTCTATGTTTCTCCTTCTCCTTCACTTTGTAAGAATCAAAGATCAGCTATATCCTGATCTGTTGCTATATTCTTGCATGTCACTATGAATAAATATTATGAAGAATATATCTTGTAAATTTATACCATTTTGATATCACTAATATTGTTGGATAGTTACCTTAATTCTAGGAATTGTGTGTGCTGATTCCTTGTGTTTAAGGATTTGACTCTGCCGTGATTATGTTCTTTGATGTTAGGGATTTAATTCTAGGTTATTTTAGGGGCCTATTCTCCTGATTTTCCCTGATTTCATTCTTTCATTTTATTTCTTAGGTTAGCTACTGCAACTGTATATATATAGGAATGTGTAAATGGTGTAGAATAGTCAGTGATATAGAAAATACATATTTTTCAGCAATATCATTTCAGCGAAATGAATAGTAAAACATTTTTCTTATGTAGTTCCAATTTTTTCTTATGAATAGAAGCAATCCTAATTTATTTTTCCATGTGATTACCGAAAGGTAAAAAACCAGTTCAGGAAAAGTCACAGTATTGTTGGTTTATGTGAAATAATAATGACCAGAGATGACATAGAAGGAATTGAAAAGCTAAAAACATGTTTGGTGAAAGAATTTGAGTTCAAAGAGCTTGGAAAATTGAAATATTTGCTTGGCATAGAAGTGGCACATTCTCAACAGGGGATCTTCATATCTCAGCAAAAGTATGTGATTGATCTTTTGAAAGATACAGCCTACAGGTAAATTGGGATGCAAGCCAGGTTACACACCTATAGAACCCAATCATAAGTTGGGGGGTGTTGCAAAAGATGCTAAAGTTGACAAAGGAAATTATCAAAGACTTGTTGGGAGATTGATTTATTTATCAGACATAGCATATGCTGTCAGTGTAGTGAGCCAATTTATGCATAACCCGAACGAAACACATCTCAAGGCTGTGCACAGAATCCTACAAGGCTACAACAATACTTAAAGAACTCACCTGGTCACCTGGTGAGGGAATCTTATTCAAATGAGAAAGGGGATTGAGTCTTGAAGCCTATATTGATGCATATTATGCAGGGTTAGTTGATAATAGAAGATCAACATCTGGTTATTGTACTTTTTTGGGTGGAAATCTTGTTACATGGAGGAGTAAGAAACACAATGTGGTTGTAAGATCAAGTGCATAAGCAGAATTCAGGTCAATGGCACTTAGGATATGTGAACTTCTATGGCTGAAGATTGTTTTAGAAGATTTGAAGATTAAGTAGGAAGGCCCAATGAAATTGTATTGTGATAACAAGTAAACTATCAACATTGCAGTGATTGCACATAATCCGGCTCAACATGATTGCACAAAGCATATAGAGGTTGACATGCATTTTATAAAGGAGAAGCTTGATTTGCACTCCGTTTGTCCACACAAAGAATCAGTTAGCTGATATACTCACAAAGGGGTCCAACAAAATTTTTTAGAGTCTAGTCGACAAACTTGGAATGGACGACATCTACTCACCTGCTTGAGGGGGAGTGTTGGAAAGTTCCCTTAATTCTAGGAACTGTGTGCTGATTCCTTGTGTTAAGGGATTTGACTGTGCTGTGATTATGTGATCTTAGGGATTTAATTCTAGGTTATTTTGGTTAGGAGCCTATTTTCTTGATTTATGCCTTGCTTTTCCCTGATTTCGTTCTTTGATTTTATTTCTTAGTTTAGCTACTGCAACTGTATATATATATATATATATATATATATATATATATATATATATATATATATATATATATATATATATATAGGCATGTGTAAACAGTCAGTGATATAGTAAATACATAGTAAAACATTTTTCTTATGTAGTTCCAAGTTCCAACAGATATTTAAGTTTTCACTACAATAGAAGCAATCGTAATTTATTTTTCCATGTGATACTCAGGAAAAAGGTAAGGTTATGTAGTTTAGTTTTAAATAATTTGATTTGATAGTGGGATTCTAGAAGAGTCAAATCCCCTTTTATCATTGATGTACCAAAAAACAACTTCAAAATAATAGTTTTCCCTAGTATTACTCTTTTGATATCTTGCTTATTCATGCTTATATACTTGCATTTTTTAAATGCTCGTGTACTCTATTCAGTTTTTCATAGTGGCTTCAATTTTAGGGTTTCTCTGCATATTAATTATTCAAAGTTTCTTTTAACTGCTTTAGAACATGTCTAGTGTAGCAAACCATGATTGAACTGTCTTCTTCTAAATATGGGGTTTTAAAATGCATGCTCATAATTGGTTTTCTGTTGATCAATTTGATTATACTTTTCAGGAGTTAGAGTTGAAGGAATCTTGCGGCAAGCTGCAGATGTGGATGACGTTGAGCGTCGAATCCAAGAATACGAACAGGGTCTGTTTGCTTTTGTGATATTGTTATTTTTTTTCTTTTCTTTTTAAAACTATTTTGGAATTTTATCTCCAACTGGGAAATGGATCTGAACAAAAATATGAAAGTAGAGAGCTTGGTTCCGGGGGTGCTAATTTTTCCACTAAATAGCATTTCATGTGCTTCTTAAACCTCTTCAAATGAGTTAATAGGATGCCTTTCTTGATGTGTCTGAAACTTTTTCCATATGAAGAGGTTTAACTCTTTTGATCCCTAAGTATTGTATACATCTCAGGGAACCTGCGAAATATTGGTGGTTGTCACAATAGTGGAGAGACTACGGTTGTTAAGCAGTTTGCTCCTTTGATTGATCTGCTAATGTCTGATCCAAGATCCATACAATCAATGAAGCCTACACACACACACACAACATACTTGATATCATAAAGCTAATGATTGAATGAACTTTCAGGGGGTTATATTTTTGACAAACTTCTAGTTGATGTTGAATGGCAAGCAGGAAACTGAATTGTTTGGTAATATTAATCCTTTAACCCAGGTAAAAGAGAGTTTTCTCCAGATGAGGATGCACATGTTATAGCTGATTGTGTGAAGGTATCTCCTTTAATGAGAAGTAAAAGAATACCTTTGATAGATCTTCTGGAGGCACTCTTTTCTAACTTTGTTGTTTTTAATGCTAAAATTGCTCCAGTATATCCTCCGGGAGTTACCATCGTCTCCTGTTCCTGCATCTTGCTGCAAAGCCCTTTTAGAAGCTCACCGTAAGTTTGTTTCTACACTTATTGTTTTGAGACCTTTTTAATTTGTGGATGTCATATAATCTTTACCAACCAAAGAGGATATCCTTGTGATCATGAATGAACAATTTGTCTAGTCTTGACTGAGTAACATGACCTGTTGTCAGTTATTGGGTAAAGGTACATTATGTCTTCTTGATACTTAAAAAGTTTGGTATTTTAACAAGTTTATCAAAGTTTTCATAGCTCATATGTTTGGATTGTTAGCACTTTTTAAGTTTATGAAAATTTATGTACTTAGTGTGCATCTATTTCCCTGTAGAAACTATCTAATTAAGGTTTTCTGTCTCTTCTTTCCCTCAAATACTATGTAAGAAAAAAAAAATCATGGTGGACACATCACAAAACAGATTTTACACTTACAGTATTAAAGAATAAGTTTTTCTTGTCCCTTGCTAATTTATTCCACTTAATTAGCTAAAGCATGTTCACAAAATGATTTTATTAATAATCTTTGAATTATCACATGTGGAAGTTAATAATATCTCTCCAGTGGAATTGAATTGTTGATTGCATTCAGTAGAAAGTGGTTCATAGTAGTAGTTCTTTGATATGTTAAGTTCCTCAAAGTGCAATTGGTCCTTGAGGCTTTAAGCACTCAAGTGTGTAACACTATATATATTGCTTTGAGATGCTAAAAGCACAATTTATCATAAACTTAGTTTAGACACCTAAATAGTAAATACAGTAGCGATTAGTATGCACTAGGGGAGCCAATAAAATAGACAGAAATGAAATCTAGTGCTACAAAATTATAATCTAAACATGCACCAATCAAGTGCCACTGCCAAAAAATATTATCAAATCTGATTCAGTAATTTTACCAAACAAATGGTGTGCAGTCTAGTGTTAGAGTTACATTAGAGTATTATACAAATGATGGTTTGGGATTTTCATTGAACTGTTAGTATGCAATTCTGTATTGAGCCTTGAGAGATATGTCATATGTGAGTTGAAGATACGAGGTTAAAGAAAAAAATCAGGCATACAGTTGCTGTTTTGGGTGTCTTTTGCCATAGACTGAAGAGCATGAGGATAGATGAAGAGTTTTTGGTGTTCACAAGTTCTGTTTGTGAATGTTGTTGGCTGATATTCTTAAATCACTGAAATTCACACTTTCTTTAACGTTCATACTTTTATTCAATTTTCTCCTTTTACAGATTATACCACAATTAGAAATTCCTAGAATCTTTTATCATTTCCACAGCTTGAATATCAGGAAAATCAAAAGAATGGTGAAGCCAAATTGGAAATTTTATTTTTATTAATTCACTTTGGAATATGTAGTTATTTTCCAACTAAACAGTTACACAAGATCATTATATGTATATTGTTTTTGGCATTAAAATTGGATACTCAATCACTGATCTGTGTTCTATCTAACCTTTGATTTCTAGCAACTCAATTGACTATTTGACTATTATTCTTAGGAACTGCGGCTGGCTTGAGAGTTAATGCTATGCATAATGCAATATTGGAGACATTTCCTGAGCCAAATCGTCGCTTATTGCAAAGGTGTTGATAATACCTACTCCTTTTAATTTGAATTACTTTGGTATGTGGTGCTTAAGAATTTCATTGTATTTCAACTTGTCCAAAATATAATACTGTAATAACATCAATAAAATTGCTAGTTGTTGAATTTGTTCATATTGCTTATAAAGTTGCATTTCTTTCATTTTATTCTGTTTAATTATTTCATTTCTGAATCAATTATGTGTACCTAATCAATTATATAAATTTCTTGAAGATTCCTTTTCCATATTCAAATGCTTGAGCAAAATTCGGTTTTAAGTAGTTAAGTTTATCATGCAGGACATGAATTTCTTAAATGTTTGAATCATTTGGATACACAAAACGCTGTTGCTAGAAAGGTTGGACCCAGTAAGATGTAGATAAATTCTTTTGAATATTGAGTTGTAACTTTTATGTTTGAATTGCCAGGCCCAATAAATTCTTTTCCATGCTAGCAGATCCTTGAGGTTATGGTCAACTGTATTGAGTTATGGCTCTCTCTTATAATCAAGCTTAGTAAAAGTTGAAGCAAATCCAGAAATGTGTATTTGTACATCAATTATTCTGCTCCTATCATTGAACAAAACTACTGGTGCTAAATTTTAGCTGATCCATTTTTCTTTTATATATCAGAATTCTCACAATGATGCAAAAAGTGGCTTCTCACAAGAATGAGAATCGAATGGGCATTTCAGCTGTGGCTGCTTGCATGGCACCTTTACTTCTTCGGCCCCTGCTATCTGGAGAATGTGAACTTGAACCTAACTTTGACATGGGCGACGATGGTTCTGTTCTACTTCTTCGGGCAGCTGCTGCAGCAAACCATGCTCAGGCTATTGTTATAACTTTGCTGGAAGAGTATACTAATCTATTTAGGGTATGATTTAGTTACAATTTTCATATCTTTTGTGCCTTTACATAGGATTTAACTAATGCATTATTTTAGAAATTGCAATTTAGACTTTAGAGCATTGAGTAAACTTGTATTTGTCTTGGAGATCATGTTAGTTACTTTGTTAAGGTATTTTTCTTCTCCGCTTGTGGAACATATAGTGTTTAATTTTAATTCAATCTTATTAATTCCAGAGTAATTGGAAATACCTTTAAACAAACTTCATCGTCCACTCCTTGCAAAAAACTGAAACCATTCCTGTTTTGCCTGCAAGTTACATTTAGTTAGGACTTAGGAAGAACTAACTAAAGAGGCCTTTTCAGGTTTTTCTATGATTGCTGTTTGATATATGTAGCATATTCAGGCTATGTTTTTAAGGAGAATAGTAGTGTATATGGCCTTGGTTATTTTGTGGGTTTGCTTTGCAAGTACACATAAATTTTGACTTTATCAAAGAAGGTTGGAGTTTCTTTAGTAGGCCATATTATCTTCTCTATAGATTTTTGTATAAGCCGAATTATGGCATTAATTTTAACTTTTTCTGGAATGATAGTACTAATGTCTAATAGCCTTCATTATGCTTACTTGGCAAGGAACTTCTTTGTTGATTGGCATAAAGTGGTCTATTGCAGCATGAAATTTTTGTTTGAGAAGCATCAATGGATGCAACTGAAGCACATAAAAATACACATGCAAGAAAGATCCATAAAAGGACCTAACACTTTGTTTGTCACCCAGCTAGACTGAATCTGACATTCTTTTCCCCTTTCAGTTTAGCCCAAAATGGTTCGGCATAATTAGCTAGACGTTTTGTTTTGCTTAACAAGGTGTATAGTTATTCAGGTGTTCATGGAATCATTTCCATGTTCAATTTGTGGAAGTAATTTGTTTTGAGGGTTCAGATTATGTTTAAGTGTGACCTATACTCTAATTATGTCATTTTACCATTTGTTGTAACATCTATACGATCTCCTGAATAAGACATATAATTTCTGCATGTTCAATTTTAGGACATTATAAACTGAAGGAATTTACTCAAGTTAGTCTTTGCATACTTTCCCATTTATACTTAATAACCATCTGAACTGGTTGCAGGAAGGCTCTGTGTCACCTGAATTATACTCTGACTCAGATGGTACTGATGATGAAGAACTTAGCAATGATGAAAGCTACAATGATGATGTGGGATCTGATGCAGGTTTTGATGATGATTCTGGTCATGCATCTACTGTCGCTACCAGTGAGACTGGTGAAAATGAAGGTGCTAACAAGGTTAGTCACTGTCTTCCTTAACATGAGTATCTACTATGTGTCTATGTGAACAAATAATTATGAAATCACCAATAACTGGTGCTTTTAAGGATTAAATGACCTCATTTCTTATGTGATGTCAAAAGTGGTTCTAAAATATGTTACCCTTCTTTCATAACTACAGAGCTGTCTTTATTGTTGCAACTTGTTCCCAAGAATGACCTATATCCAAAAATCTAATCCTATTTCTGAATTCAAATGCACACTTTAATTAGCTATAGTCATAGTACAGCTACCTAGTTAACTTTGCTGGTAAGACTAGTACTTCCCGAGTTCCCACAGAGAAGAGCAGGGATAAAAACTGTTTACACCTATGCAAATATTTTGTTTGATCATTTAGTTTGCTCATAGATAAACTCTTTGGAATAGCATTGGTGGTAAACATTTTCTTATGCTTTGTGAAGTTTCAATACTCTATTGTTGTTATACTCTGTATATATCATCTCCTTTTTTTACATTTCATTTACGAGTTTTTGTTTATTTTCAGTTCCTCATTCAACCCTCTCCCTATGTATTCTGTTGTGCTGAATATCCAGGTCTCTAGGGGTTCTAATTCCAGTTTTGAGTCTCTTGAAGTTAACAAGAACGTATCAAAAGGTCTCCCTCAAATTTCTGTTCAACACGAAGGGACAGACTGTGCTCTAAATCATAGTAGCCATATGTCTACGATGCCAGCAAATGAATCCCGTGATTTATTAGGAGAACCTGCTGAAGCATCTACTTCTCAACGATCCGTAGATGTCTCTAATGCCCCTGGGCACACTGTTCGTCGGCCTGCTGTCCGGGTGCGTGCTCGTGTGAGTATTGCAATTTCTTTTTATTTTAATAAATTAATGTTTTCAAATTCTGTCCTAGGCCTCTTTGGTATGACACTTGTATTTTTATATACTTGATTATACATCATCTTACTTTATTCCCTAAGCTTTAGTCTTTTGACTTAATCTGTTGTCATTTTTCTAGTGTATGTCTATTCCTTTTAAACACTTATACTATAACACTTTTCATTATTAATTTTTTGGAGGGCAGGGCATTAACCTTCCCTTGGAATCCATTGATTTCAACATTGAGGAAGAGTAAGTTGCTTACTTATCATTGTTGGAATTATTAGGCAAGATATCAATTGTCTGCTGCTATATGAACTTAAACGTCAATTCTTCTTGTACAGCTCACTGGTCTTTTTCTTATTCTTTTAATATGACTACTCCTACCTTTTGCAAAAATGTTGTGTCTTTTTCTTGTCTATATAGAAAGTTGAAACTGATTATCTTCTTCACCTACATCAGTTCAATATCTACTTCTTCTTTCAGTAATAGGATCTGTATAATTTTCAGAATATGTTTTGTCTGATATTTTGTCTGATATCTACTTCATTTCTAATGTCCTCTGATCATAAATATATTTGACAATATTTTAACATTTTATTTGTTTATTATTCATTTTTCGTTAGCCCCGAAATTCAGAGGCTGGAGGCCACCAAAATAGACTTGGAAAATAAAATTGCCGAGGAGGTATGGATCATAACTATCTTTGTTAATGTGGAGATCATTCATACCCATCAAGCTGGATAAAATTTAATTTTCTTGTCCTTGTCATATTTTGGTGCCCTATCTTTCATAATAGGCTAAGGGGAACACACTTCTGAAAGAGAGCTTGGCAAAACGAAAGAATGCTTTGCATGAACGGCGCCTAGCTCTTCAGCAAGATGTATGTGCTCGAACAAGTACTTTCTTGCTATGTTTAAAAAATAAAAAAATAAAAAACCCAATAAGTGCCTATGAAAAATCTTTGTACACCCTTCTTGCGCATTGTTCTTCTCTCCCTCTCTTCCTATTCCTCATAGTGTATATATGTGTGACTCTGTATTTTGTGGATACTACTAGAAAGATTATAGTCATTTTTCTGTTAGGATTTTTTTTTTTTGTCTTTGATTCTGTCTTTCAACAGAAATCTTAAAGTGATAAAAGCAATCTGAATGATTTCTGGTTCAGGTGGCAAGGCTTCAGGAACAGTTTCAGAAAGAACGAGAGTTGAGGATGGTACTGGAAGCTGAACTTAAGAATTCTCAACGACCATTGGCCATTTCTTCCAGTATTGATGAATCAGTGAGTCAGTTTAAACCCCAAGTGTTTATCACACACTAATAACTACGGATTATGTTGGTAATAGTAATCTTCTCTGTTTAATAGACTAAAACAGAGCTTGAGGAGATTGCTCAAGGAGAGACAGATGTTAGCAATTTAAAACAGAGAGCCGATGATCTTGGAACACAACTTAATAAACAACGTGAACAAATTTCCAAAGTTCACACTGATACAGGCAGTCAACCACAGCAAACTCATCAAGGAAAACCGTAAGAATTTTAGTTTTTTCTACTCATTTTAGTTTGCTAGATGCCATTGGGACAGGGCTTTATTTAATTTAGTTTTTACGTATTTTTCCCTCCATTTTTTGTTGGTTAAACACTTAAATCCCATCCAGCTGCACGCCTGCAAACCCCAGAAAAGGCCTCTTCGATAAAAATAAGAAAAATAGTGGGCTTCTTTTGAGTAAGTTATGTTTCTGAATAGCCTTGGCATGTTAGTATGTTCCTTGGAGACCACATGTTTGAATCTCAAAAATAGCCTCTTATAATACGAAGAAAGGAAGGCTGCTTGCAATAGGCCTTTTGCTGGAACACATACCCCCCCCCCCCCCCCCCCCCCCCCAACACACACACGGTGTAGTTTCTTGCAATGGGCTGATGTTTACATAAGCTTTATGTCCTGTGTGCTAGTGTTTTCATGAAATATATACTTATCCAAAGAAAGATATTTCCTTGTTAAGGATGTTGATCTGCATGTTAACGCTATTTGTGCTTCTCTGTATGTAGCAGGGATAAAAACAGGGATGCGGATACCCATCCTACTTCACAAGCTCAAGAGAAGCCAGTGAGAAGTAAGGTACTATTTTCACTGTAGATTGACCTTTCTACACATCATTCTTATTCTGCAAGCCTCACAAACATATATCAATTATGAATTCATAGAGTTAGGTATCACATTTTAATTGTTACTCAAGATAATGACATCATTTTGACAGCAACCGATGTAATTCTTTAAAATTGCATGTGCAGCATGATACTTCCTTGAACAAGGCTGACGGTGACAGAGACAAGAAAAATGAATCTCAGTCATCAGTGAATAAACAGAGCAAGCAATCAGATCCTATGCGCAATCCCAACACTTCTGGGGCTCTGATTGTTTTTGAACCAAATGCAGCTAGGGCTGCGGCTAGCTCCAGAAAATCTGGCTCAAGGACTGAGGTTTGCTCTAGAATTTTCTACACAGGAATAATACTATTTGCATACTTCAATTTTTACATACATTCCTGTAGCTTTATCAATGCCCTCAGATCAAACTAATATACTATCCTATACTTGGCATATGACGGCATGAGTAAAGCTAAATTAGCTTTGTATAAAAATTAGTGTGCAAATAACATTATTCTTTTCATAAATGCATATCCCATTGGGAGTATGGAGTCTGAATGTCTGATACATTCTTTTACGAAGGCACTACAAACTCTGTTGTGCTTAGCAGAATATGTTTTACTCCATAGTTTATTTCATTTACATAGGCACCTAACTTATGGATGTACTCTGTACATTATTTATTACTCCAAAGATTTTAGTTACACTTATGAACTTTCTAAGCTTACAAGCCATTGAATTACAGGGAGCTAATCCTTCTTCTGCACTGTCAAAGCTAACAAATCGGCTCAATTTCCTGAAGGAGCGTCGCACTCAACTTGCAAATGAGCTCCTAAACTCGGAGAAAAGCCTGAATTCTTGTCAAACTGGGGGAATTCCTGAAAAGAAAGGATCAGATCCTATACACTCCTCCCAGAACATGTCTGAAAACCAATCATCAGAAAAAAATAAAGGATCAGAGAGCTTGCAAGCAGCATATGCTACAGATGGTCAATCTGTCCAGAATCCAGATAGAGGAAAGAGATAAAATGAAATTTATTACACGGATGGAACTTCACCAAATCAGAAGATAGGAGGCTGAAACACACTCCATCCTGGGACATCTTCCACAATATACATGTTTGTATCTGGACCTCTGTTTTCTAGCAATGTGCTGCATGGTTATCCAATCAATTTTGCAGTCCAGATTTAGATGGTGAGCACTGAGCAAGGTTTAAGACATAGATGAGTAACCCTTGTCAGAGTCAAAACCGAGAAACGAACTCAGCTTGTTCAGCATCATGTCTCATCAGGAGGAAGTTAAATGGCTTGAAACGTTGATAGCTATGTTGCTGACAACAAATTTGGGTACTACTGTATATATATAAGTTAAAAGTACTTAAACATTAATGGTAGCTTAAAATAGCTAATAATCTAATTGTTTTGCTGTTGGTAGGCCATTAACGTTGAAAGATCAAGAAAAGTTTGCTTTATGTGTATAAAGTACTAAGAATTAAAATTGCAGTAATTAATACTTGTATCAGTAATTTAATCATTTGAACTACAAAGAATTAGAATTAAAAATCTTTGAGGAGCTTTCTAACTTGTTCTAGTGTCACGAAGAGGACCACGGTAAAAGGTCCCTGCCTAGAAATTGTGGGAATGAAGCCTTTGTAGAGAGCCATTGGCCCTTCCGATCTTATAGTCTTGACGGCACAATCCAATGCACCGGAGTACGGCGGCGCCACCCCTGGCTCCACCTTCATATTCATCACCCGGGTCTTTATCACATCCACCGGGTTGGACGCCACCGCCGCCACGAACCCCGCCGCAAAGCTCGCTGTAACGTGGGTCCCGAGCCCATCACTCATCACCCCACGCTCCAAGATTTCCTCCTTGATTTCGTCGTAGGAGGCCAGCTGCGATGCCGTAACGATCATCGCGCGGTTCACCGTAAGCCCTGAGCCGCGCCACAAGCTAGCAACTCCTTCCTGCTTCGACATTTTCATGATCGCGTCCACAACGCCCTTGTAGTTCCGCCTCTGTGAAGCCGGGAGCCGCCCGTCGGCTTGCATGCGCACCATGGCCAAGTCCGCCGGGTTCCCAACAGCCGCGCCTACTCCGCCGGCCAACAATCCGGCGACCAATTTCCGGCCGAGAGACAAGTTTCCTGTTTCGGGGTTGGACCATTTTTGCTTAAACACGTCATACAGCCCCATCCTGGTGGTTGAATACAACGCCTGCCGGAGCATCGTGGCGGAGACGCCGGAGAACAAAGCGGAAACACCCTCCGTCTGGAAAATCCGCACCCCCACAGAAATGGGTCCCGCTCTTCTGGGTTGTGGAAACGGGTCAACATTCAAGCCCGCATTAACAGTCATGGATGGATTACTGTGGAAGGCTAACGCGGGTCGGAGCTGAGAACAAAATTGCGGGTTGAGGTTGAATTTCGGTAGAGAAGATTCACCTTGAAGCTGCATACGGACCTTGATGAGGTCTAGAGGGTGGGTAGAACAACCAGCTACAATGGAAGCGACTCCACCTTCAGCAAAACCTTTCAAACCCATGGATTGTTTGAATCAAAAGAAAAAGAATAAAAGAATAAAAGAATCAATATTAAGTGCGAAATGCCGATTGAGAATTGAGCTCGTTTGAATGGAAAACAAGAGTAAAGAGCCATGAGAATTTATAGGTAACAATCGGAAAAAATAATTAAGCGAAATGGAAGCTTGAAGGAAAGAAGGCGGATGCGCAGTGTGATATCCCTCCAGGCTCCAGCAAGAGAACGCGTTTAGAGGAGAGTCCGAAGAGTTCCACGAGGCAAAATATAGTGCCCTAAATGAGACTTTGACTGTTACTGCTGACCACGCTATTAGCTTGATTGATTTCGTCGCCATGCAATTGCTGCGTAGCCCAAACTATCCCCCGTTGCTATTATATTGTTATACCAAGGATCATGGTTCATATTATAGTGCAGATTCTAATTTAAAAATTATGTATTTTTATCGTTAATAGGCTTATATATATGTAATATAATGTGATGTGCCTTCCATTTGTTACAGGTACAAAATATGTTAACTATGAATACATAATCTAAATTTTATTTTTAGATTAGTGTTCACAATGTAAAATAGACATGAAATTTGTAATTTGTTGTTGCTATAGGGCCTGGGCTTTATTTTATTTCTTACTTTAAAAAAAAAAACAAAAATTAGTGTGAGACTTTAGAATTGGAAGTTTGTATTTCCCCATTTTTGTGTGAAATATTCCAAGCTTTTATTATCAATAATGTTTTTTTGGGTGCAACGCAGGAAACGGCAAATTATGATGTGAGCACGTGCCCACCATGCACATAGTGTGCACGAATTTATATTCATAATTTCTATATTGTAGATCCATAATTTCTATAATCTTGGTGAGTTAAAATTTATAGTTTAGATTAATATTGTATAGCATGGTTCAATTAAGCAAAAAAACTAACATATTTATTCCCTTTCTCGAATCTAAAGAAACCTTATGAAATCCTCATTATCATTTGGAAAATTTACTTAGATTTCTCATATTTTGAAGAATTCGTCATATATCATATTAGCGTAATAGTCGCATTATGAAGATTTCATCATTGTGCGCTTTCTAAAATTCCTATAACATGTAGGCAAATTTAACACCCCACAAGGTATTATTTGGTTTTATTTTTCATCTGAGCAATTCATTGCAATCCAGTGTATGAAGGAAACATGGGCCGTTGTTTGGACCCCTCCATCAAGTTTGTGCGAAATCACAATCTTTGAACAAATGTTTTAGGGTTTCATCCTCTTGATTACATTTCGAGCAAATCCCCTCCGTTATTGTTCCTCTTGCCCCTCCATCAAGTTTGTGCGAAATCACAGTCTTTGAACAAATGTTTTAGGGTTTCATCCTCCTTATTGCATTTCGAGCAAATCCCCTCCGTTATCGTTCATTGTATCTCTCCAACCAGTTTAGGCGAAATCATAATCTTTAAACAAATGTTTTAGGGTTTTATCATCTCGCCTGCATTTCGAGCAATTCCCATATGTCGTCGTGCCTCGTATCATTAATAATCCTTGCCCAGGAGTTGATGGAAGAAGTAAACCGCGAGTTGCTCATATCTCTCAAACCAGTTTGGGCGAAATCACAATTTTAAAACAAATGTTATATGGTTTCATCCCTTCGGTTGCGTTTTGAGCAATTCCCCTATGTTGTCGTTCCTCTTATCATTCAGAACCCCTACCCAAAAGTCGATAAAAGAGGTAAATCATCAATTCGTCAATAAATTTTCCCGACTAGTCCCGATCGTTGACTATGCGCACAAGAGATCTATCTCAACACTTCCTCCAAAGGTCCAGACTCTAGCTTGGGGTGCCCTAAGGGAGTCGATAAAATCCCACCTGCACACACTACGCTTAAGTGGTAGTTTATGTCAGGTAATCTATCACTTGAGATAACCTCGCGGGTCTAAGGAAGTTGTTCTTCACAAGGAGTCATACGAAAATGTGAGTCCTCTCAATACCCTTGATATTCCAAACTCACTTCATATAATCACATTTCTCTATATTTTTTACAAACAATTACTCTGTATATGTATATTTCACAGGAAAAAGGTCTTGTACATGAATGCAGCCAACACAACATATCTAGAAGATTATCATCTTAAGTGGTGGCATTGGTCGAATCATATCCATCATCTCAACGGGTAATAATGCTAACAATACAAATTCAAGATTTCAAAATCTTCAATAATAATTGATCTACAATTATAATTGCCATATAATTCACTCCCAGCATTGTCATTGCATCACCATTATCTTGCTCTAACATTACATGTTTTTTACTATCATATATATTTTTCACCAACATACTTTGATGATTGTTTAAATTCATAATAATTACTATTAATTTACTTCACGAGTTAAAATTATATAAAAATTGCATCAATTATAAGAATGTGATAAGTAAATGTTAATAATGGCTCAACTCCACTACCTCATCATCATGCCCTCATCCCATGATCTGCATGCATTTACCGCAATTTCCTAATCCAAACGTGTATAGATAAGCTTTGTGTCATTCTATCATCTCTCATTAATTGAATTCATCTTCAAGTCTACTTTAATTTGTTTCCTTTCCCATCTATTACGTAGACAATGCATATATATACTCTTTATAACAACTTATTGTTTTAAAACACTAACAACATGTTTGGTTCACGGAATGAATTTTGAGATAATAGGAATGCTATTCCATAAGGAATAGGATAAGCAAGGAATAGAATAGGAATTGTATTCTATTGTTTGGTTCGCGGAAGGAATAGACTTTAGGAATTATATTACAGTGTTTGGTTGATTTAAGGAATAGAAATGGAATATGTTTTAAAAAACATAAATACCCTTATAAGAATATGTGATGGTGGCGATGTTGGTGGTGGTGGTGGCGGTGATGGTGACGGTGGTGGTGGTGATGGTGGTGGTGGCGGTGGTGGTGGTGCTGGGGTGGTAATGGTGGTGGTGGTGACGGTGACGGTTGTGGCAGTGGTGGTGGGGGCGGCGACGGTTGTGGCGGTGGTGGTGGTGGCGGTGGTGCTGTTGGGTGGTGGTTCTGGTGGCGGCGGTGTTGGTGGCGGGTGGTGGTGATGGTGGTGGTGGTGGGGTGGTAGTAGTGGTGGTAGCGATGGCAGTGGTGGGGGCGGCGACGGTTGTGGCGATGGTGGTGGTGGTGGTGGCGGTGATGACGACGGTGGTGAAATAGGATAAATTTATATATAGGATAAAAAAATTAGGTTAAAGAAAGGGGTAAAAAAAGAAAATAGATTCTAAAATCTATTCCTGAGCGTTCAGTAATAGGCTAATATAGGGGGGCCCTAGTAATAGCTATTACCTCATTTGAGGTAATAGGCTATTACCAGGAATATTATTCCTAATAATAAAAATGGTTACCAAACAAAGGAATAGGCCTATTACTGGGAATGCTATGCCATTCCCGGCCTATTCCGTGAACCAAACGGGCCATAAAATTCAAAAAACTGTTCAAAGCAATTTTTTCAAACATTTTATTGAGAAAGTTATTTTATATGTAATCAACTATCAACTAACAATACTAACACTATTCAAAACAACTAACACTTATTTTCCAAACACCTTCAATATTTTGAAAAATTAGTTAAAATGACTGGACAATTTAACGAGATCCGTATACATCCGGGTCGAAACCCCCCTCTTCGTAGTGCGTACTTCGTATGTAGATCCGGATCCGAACACGATTGACCCATTTCAGCCGGCTGTATAAAGCCAAGCAGACGCACGTCAAAATTTCACCAGCTCGTTGCTCAGTGTTCTCTCAGGCATGTTCTTCGACTCGGACGACTTCTCCGGCGACCAGCGACGATTTCCCGGAGCTATCTCATTGAATCGAGTCTCTTGAATAGGACTATATATCTCCGCGCGCGTGCTCTCTGACTTTGTTAGGTTCTGCTGTTTCTCCCTTTCTGGTGAGAGCTCTTTTGCTCAAGTTTCTTAGCAATTTTGTTTTTCCTACGAACCCTGTATAATGCAGCAAGGCAATTCTCTTCACCATTTTCGATTTTGACATCTGAACCAATAACCCTAATTTAGCCCTAACTATGGATAATCATTTTGCATGTTGCATATATATTTGTAATCAAGATGAGTTCGAATGCGCGACCAATTATTTATTTGCGTGCTGTCTGATTTCCTGCTTTGAGTAGTTCGGATTAATAGGGCCTTTTTATTTGTGCCTGCAAGAGCTTAGAGAGGTTTTAGGACTGAGTTCGTATAATTAATGAGTTTGAATTTCAGTTGATGAGTTCAAATGATGGTTCTGTTAAAATTGTTTATGGTAGTATTTGGATATTGAACACTAGTATTAGTTTATCTGGCCTAATAGGTTTGAACTTTGGCTATAATAGATTTCAACAAGGTGCTCTTGTTTTAGTATTTTGGTATAGATCAACATCCTCATAAATAAGCTGGCTATGAATCAATTTCCCAGCCTTTGAGCAGTGTGATGTGTATTTCAAAAGAAGCATATCCAGTTTGGAGGTGGATGACTTTCCTTTCTATGTCAATTATGATTCATGGATGCTGAAACAGACCCTCCCTGTGCATCTAATTGCAACATGAAAGTATGAAACGAGTAGGCAAGCACCTCCTCTATTTTTTTTCTGTCCAGATAAATCTGCACCACGACACACGATTCAGTAGTTAGACCAGAAGATGGATGACTAGTCCTGCCTAGAGTTTGCGATTAGTTTATCCTAACGTTGTGAGATAAAAGGGGATTTTGATTTTCCCCACCCCAACCCCACTATATTGTGCTCATCAAGACACTGGATGATAAACTGATCCTTTCGTAACCCATGCTCTGTGTTTTGCAATCAAACTTGGCCTTTTTCTCTTATACAGTGTAGGACTTTATGTGTCTTTTATTAGTTGGTTTAAGGTTCTTCAACATCTTCCCACCTTTTCTGTTCCTGTTTATTTTTAACTCTATGTGCCCTGTTATTCTGTTAATTCCGTTTAATTATGTTTCTAAATTCATACTTAATTAGTTTTAGTGTGCTTGCCGTAGTAGTACATAATTGAATCTTGCTATCTTACTGCTACTCATATAAGAATGTGCTTGGATTATTCAAGCATGCTTGGCATGGTGTTTTCTATTGAATTCACTGAAGCATGCTATCTTAGTGATTCTTTCATATGGCAACGCACTTCAAGTATTGAAAAATGAATGCCATGGTGTTATTTGTTGAATTTAGTGTAGCATGCACCGTGTATGCTACTTCATGAGTTCATGCTAGGATTTATTTTGTTGGAATATGCCTGACATGCTGTTATTTGTTGGATTCTGTATACATGTAATTGCTGGTATTTCCTGAAAATACAAATAGCTCTTCTATAATGCAGAGTATTATTTTCTGTTTCGTTGGCCATTCTGTGCCTAAACCTGTGAGAATGTTGTTAATATTGTTGAATTATTTCAAGAACCCTTCAGGGTTGTTCCATTGTTTTCTTTTATCTTTTTCCCAGCACACTGAATCTGTAGTTTACTCAAGATTATTTAATTGTGTGGAGTAGCTTTTTTAATGCTTATGGGAAGACATAAATGAGCAGAATGTATCCAAAACGCTCTAGCCAAGCAGACGAAGATGACCCTAGGCCAGTTCGTACAAGTGACAGGCTCAGGAGAAGACCAAAACCATATGGCAATGGTCGCCCATTTCTGTATTATATGGAGACTCGAAGAGGAAAATCAGGAAAGACCAAAAGGAAGACGGCAGCTTCTCATATTGCAAAGATGTTGGGTAATCGACCAGTGCGAAAAGCAACAACAAATGTACGTGCTGATCTTTTCTTGTTATTCTATGTGGATATGATTGACTATGGGTTATGTTTTGTAAGAAAATATATCATTAGGAACTTATATGAGTTTGTAATAGTGCTAAGACAAACTTGTCTAGAAAAGAGAGCTCTTACGGTCTTACCCTTCACACTTCAACTTGTTTTCCTGTATCCTAGTATTGGAATGATTTTTAATGTTTGTCAGGCTTGAATTATGAAAAGAAAGCATGTAACCATCTCTTACTGTTAGGCCACTATTGGCGAAGACCTATTTCTTGGTGGTCTGTTGCCATTGACTGTCTTATTTGCAGCCATTTTGTGTATATAAACTTCGTAGGATATTTTCCTTGGTTTTATGGCAGTCAGTTACGACCACTCTTCGTCGCTCTACTAGAAAGAGGAGGATGTCTGTAAATCTTGAAGATTACACAGATAGTACTGGATCAGAGGACAATGACCTAATGGTATGTTTTTGTTGCTTGTTTGTCATCATTCAATATTTGTAGGATAGCTCATAAGTGTAAGCATACAGCTTGTTCAATTCTCAAGATTTTAGTTTTAGCATGTAAAGGGAACTAAAATATATATAGGAAACTAAACTTTTTTCTGAATTTGCTTCAGAGCCCAAAATATGGGAGTTCCAGGAACCGAATTGATAATAACAGTGCAACTCAAGATGAAATGACACCTCGACGTGCAGGTCTGCGTCCTCGCCGTGCAGCATTACGACCTAATCGTTCAAGAGCAGTTGCCAAAAAAGCATTGAAATTAGAGTCTGATGATGAACAGGACACTTCTGAGGAGAAGGTTGACCAAGATGAGCCAGCAAATGGCAATGATATAGAGGATAATGATGCTGAGGATGAGGGTGGTGGTGACGGTGATGGAGAAGAAGATGGTGAAGATGAAGGGGAGGAAGATGGTGATGATGAAGAGGGTGAAGAACAGGAGGTTAGAAGGCGGTATGACCTCCGTAATCGCACTGATGTTCGTAGATCCATTGAGGGGAGTAAACAAAGGAAAAGATCTCCTCGTCGAGTACTCCAACAAGGAATAGGATCAAAGGTGAACAGAGATGTCAGAAAAGGAGGACCTCGTGTTCATAAACGTCACAGAATGGGACAAGCTGATGACTCGGATGATTCTCTTCTTGTAGATGAGTTGGACCAAGGTCCTCATGTTCCTTGGGGTAGAACAGGGGGCAGATCTGGCCCACCTTGGCTTTTAGGGGGACTAGACATGCCTGGGACAACATGGGGATTAAATCTTGCTGCATCTGGTTGGGGTCACCAAAGTGACACCTTGACTAGTTTGAGTTCTGGAATTCAAACTGCTGGGCCAAGCTCCAAGGGTGGTGCTGATATTCAACCATTACAAGTTGATGAAAGTGTAAGCTTTGATGACATAGGTGGGCTTTCTGAATATATTGATGCACTGAAAGAGATGGTGTTCTTTCCCCTATTATATCCTGACTTTTTTGCCAGTTACAACATAACCCCTCCACGGGGAGTTCTGCTATGTGGTCCTCCGGGCACAGGTAAAACACTGATTGCTAGAGCATTAGCGTGTGCTGCTTCAAAGGCTGGGCAGAAAGTCAGCTTTTATATGAGAAAGGGCGCTGATGTTCTTAGTAAATGGGTTGGCGAGGCTGAAAGACAACTGAAGTTGTTATTTGAAGAAGCTCAAAAGAATCAGCCTTCTATCATCTTCTTTGATGAGATAGATGGACTTGCCCCTGTAAGGTCTAGCAAGCAAGAGCAGATTCATAATTCCATTGTGTCAACTTTACTTGCTCTGATGGATGGACTTGACTCACGGGGGCAAGTAGTCTTGATTGGAGCTACCAATAGGGTTGATGCAATTGATGGAGCCTTGCGACGCCCGGGAAGATTTGATCGTGAATTTAATTTTCCTTTGCCTGGCCTCGAGGCACGCACTGAAATATTAGATATTCACACCCGTAAGTGGAAACAACCTCCTTCAAAAGAGCTTAAAATGGAGCTAGCAGCTAGTTGTGTGGGATATTGTGGTGCTGACCTAAAGGCATTGTGCACAGAGGCTGCTATTCGTGCTTTTCGCGAAAAGTATCCTCAAGTGTACACTAGTGACGACAAGTTTTTGATAGATGTGGACTCAGTTGAGGTGGAAAAGTACCATTTCATGGAGGCCATGGCAACTATCACTCCTGCTGCTCACAGAGGTTCCATTGTACATTCTAGACCGTTATCACCAGTTGTTGCACCAATTTTACAAGGGCGTCTTCGCAAAGCTATGGACATTATTTCAGATATTTTCCCTCTTTCAGTTTCTTCAGAATTGACAAGGCTTTCCATGCTTTCTTATGGCTCTGCAATTCCTCTGGTGTACAGGCCTCGGCTTTTGCTATGTGGCGGTGAAGGAGTTGGACTGGTATATACTCTATGGAATCCTCTATTTAAATATGTTGTGATCAATATGAGCTGCAAACCAAGTTTACTCATTTAGTTTTGCAGGATCATATAGGGCCTGCAATTTTACATGAGTTGGAAAAGTTTCCTGTTCATTCACTTGGACTTGCCTCTCTTCTTTCTGACCCTGGTGCCAAAACACCAGAGGAGGCATTGGTGCACATATTTAGTGAGGCAAGGAGAACAACTCCATCAATACTCTATTTACCACAATTTCATCTTTGGTGGGAAAACGTGAGTTTGCCTCTAACTATGTTCTTCACATACACATTATACTTTATTTTTGGGGCTTATCCAATGCAAATTTCATGTATTTCTTCACAACATGATACATTTCCTTTTTGGGCTAATCCAGTGTGAATACAATATTACAATGTACTTCTGCATAATATGACTCTTACTATTTTTTTCAGGCACAAGAACAGCTCAAGGCCGTTTTGCTTACCCTGCTGGAGGAACTGCCATCTGACTTGCCCATATTATTATTTGGAACATCCTCAGTGCCACTCTCTGAGCTAGAAGATAATTGTCCTTCACTATTTCAACACCATAATGTGTAGGTTTTTTAAAAAAAAAAGAAAAAAAAAAAAAAACTTCATCTCACATCATATCTTTATTGGATCTTCCTGATCCTTGCCTATTTCCTATTGCATGTCTGTGTTATTCTCAGTTATGCCTTGTTGACTGGAATTTTGTTAACTGAAGTACTGAACATTGTTCTGCTTTATCTCATAACCATAATAACTTATTTTCTCTTGATTTATTGTAATTGGTAGTATTTGTTGACTAGGAGATTTTATATATCATCTCTTGATTTAGTTATTTCTGAAAATATTTTTTGTCTACACATGCCATCTGTGGACCAACTATCTTCTAGATGCTTTAGACTTGAAAATTATCATTTTAGGAATGCCCATGGAGTATATGTGAAGCTTTTTTTAGTGGACCATAGCTTTCATTCCTTTTGCATGTTGGGTGTGGATAACTCGTGTCCAACTACAATCGCTTTTGTTCAACATGTTAGACTTTATAATTTATTGCTTCAATGGATCAAACTATGTTTTCTTTTCGCAGCTTGTGTGTAGACAAACCATCAGATGAAGATAGATCTATGTTCTTTGATCGTTTGACTGAAGCTGCTTTATCAATTCAACTTGAGGGTGAGATAAAGAAGTCCAACAAATCAGAGTCTCTTCCTGAACTTCCAAAGGCGCCAAAAGTGGATACTGGACCGAAGGCTTCTGAGTTAAAATCCAAAGCTGAAGCTCAGGGACATGCTCTTCGCCGAATGCGTATGTGCTTACGTGATGTTTGTAACCGGTAATGTACATGCCATTTGAATTTAATCCTTACTAATTCAAATTCTTGTATCATGCAATTATAAAACCAGGTTTTGTTTACTGGTTTGCTTCTTTTTGACATTGTCTTCCTGCTATTTGCTTATCAGACGTTATTTCCTTGACATCAAGATGCTATCTTCTAATTTTTATTTTTAAAACATTTGCAGTATTTTATATGATAAACGCTTTAGCGTCTTTCACTATCCAGTAATGGATGAGGATGCACCGAACTATCGTACAATCATCCAGAACCCCATGGACATGGCAACTCTGCTGCAGTGTGTTGACAGTGGCAAATATATCACGTGTAAAGCATTTTTAGAGGATTTTGATCTGATTCTGGCAAATGCAAAGGTAGGGTATATTTAAATTTACTCCATTCTCTACTAATTTGTTCCTTAATTCTACTTTCTAAACAATCCATGTTTTTAATCTCTTCTTACCCCTTTTTAATTAACCCCAATGTCTGTGTCTGACATTTCTTTATGGTTTATTGAGTAAAAAACTTAAATGTTAGATGCATATGGTCATATTTATTTCTTAATTTGAAAGCTCTTTCTTTCATATTACTGATGAAAGCAAAATGTCAAAATAAGAATGATAATCTTCCTCTGTCAACTGTTGCAAAGCTATTGGAAATATCTTGACAGAAGATCAGTCTATGGCACAAAGTAACTTCATAAGCAAGTGTAAGGAGTGAAAAAATCTTTTTCTGTAGGGGAAAACTAATTGGAGGATAGGAAAGGGTATATTGAGGACTGTACAGAATAATGCACTCATGCTACTTTATTGCTTTACTTTGTTGTAAGTAGACTTGGGCTTTATCTGACCACGGTTTCTGATGCAGAAATATAATGGCAATGATTACAATGGTGCAAGGATTGTCAGTAGAGCTTATGAGCTGCGCGATGCTGTATGCTTGCTTTCCTACTGATACTTGGTTTTGTCTCAGTAACTTAAGCTTCTTGCATTTGATATTGAGATTTTTTCTGTCAGGTGCACGGCATGCTGTCCCAGATGGATCCTGCTCTGGTTGCATTCTGTGAGAAGATTGCTGCTGAAGGGGGTCCAATGTCTGTGCCTGATGAATATGGGATCTCCATAGTGCCACAGTCTCCTGTTCTGACAGCTGTCACTAGGGTAAGTGCACGTCTTAGGAATGTCCAGCCAGAAGTTAACCTAGATCAGAGTTACGAAGCTCTGAAAAGACCAAAGAAGCATGCTGATATGGCACAACCAGGTATAAGTTCTAAAAAGACAATCTTAATGTTGTCATTGAGGTTCATGTGACTTTATCTATTCCCAACCTCCCCCCTAAAAACCACACATTTAAAACGCATTACAGCTTTAGTCTCGTATGACCATCTTCAATGATGATGATTCAGCCTTCTACATCTTATGGCTATTTATTCCATTCACATCGGTTTTTACATTGATAACTTGTTATTTTGATCTTCTTGCTAATTATCTACTGCGATTTTAGCTTCAACATCAGAAGAGGGATCACAACCCCTAGAATCATTAGAACCGAAGTCATCACAGGAACCTGAAGCTGGTGCAGATGAAAACAGGCTGGAAAGTATAGTTGCCGACGATCAACGTGAAGATTCCCGTGATACAAGTGGGTGTACATTCCAAGACGCTGCAATGTCAGATGAAGATGTTTCCAGTAAACTCAAATCCATCAAGAAACATTTCATGGAGCATACAAAAGATTATGGTGTTCCTCAGCTAGAAAGATTATACACTCGGCTCATGAAAGGTGTGTTAGAAACAAAAAATGCTCTAAATGGTGGCCAAGATCTTAAGCCTGCGATTTTGAGCTTTTTGTTAAAATTTGCAGATGACAAGTCGAATTTTTTCATGTAACATCAAAATTTTCCCTATAGAGAGTAGATATTTTCATTTATAGGTGACTGTTTATCGCTACTCATTAGTTGTCAAAGAAATTGCTTTTCCGAACATCTCTGTGCAAAAATAGAAAGCACCCAATCTATATACTTTTTATTTGATTTCATTGAAACAATAATAATGTAACAGAAAGACTGAAAGAGATGATCTTTGCTTCTCTTTGACACCTGACATCTCAGTTACAAAGCTCACGAGCAATTCCCAGGCGAGAGTTGGCAGTGTCAAACAAAATCCTCAGGTTCTGTTGCTGCAAATTGGCTATCACATTCAACACAGAGTTCCCATAGCTCGGTGCGGCCGCCATTGCCAAGCAAGCCAAGTTCCCAACACTGGTATGAATCAAAGTGTTCTCCATAGGTAGCACCAAGTCCAATCCTTGGAAGTGGAAGGTAATGGCTGGTGCAACGGACTCGTGTGTCACTGCAAAGCATGTGTCAAATGCCCCTATGGTGCTAAATGGACCCGAGACTCGGCTTCTGAACTCGTCCCGGATTGCTTCATAAGCGGGTTTAGCAAACCGGGTTATAACCGTGCCCGAGTCTATGATGGTACCTGACCCGGAGACTGGGTCGAAGGCCAGGAGCTCCGGGGCTATCGGAACCGTTACCCTCCCTACACTCACACTAGTGAGGTTCACATAGTATAGTGAGGGACGGTGTGGGCTCTTGAGAAGTGGGGTGGTCCGTATGATCTTGGGCTGGCCCAATGGGCCAAGTTTGAGCGAGCCCGAGAAATAATACGACTTAAAACTGGGCAAACAGTAAGAGAATACCCCCGGGTAAAGCGGCCCAGATTGAGAGAGCAACGACATGGAGCCACGACCCAAGCCCAATAGCCCTTGCGGCGGGATATTGTTGCCGGAAACCGTATTAATGCACCCAAAAGCGTAATTCGGGATGATATCAGTGCCGAGTCTAAGCGAGTCGTGCGACAGCGTGGCGGAGAACGACGAGTCGCCGCCGTAGGACTGGTTAAAGAGGCAAGCGCCGGAGCCGGTGGACGGGCACGCGAGCCCCCGGACTTGAGTGCACTCCGGCAGGGTGCAATCCATCGAGGCGTAAGTCGCCGACGCGTTCGGCGCAAACACGGCGGAGGAGCAGCCGTAACAGCCGCTGCACGGGACCCACGCATTGTCATTACTCGTATCCAACACCATAAACATGAGCTGCCCCGGCGTCCCAATCTTGGCCCGAACCACATAGTTCCCAATGTTGAGCACATTCTGGCCGGAAGCAATGGGCGCCGACGTGGGCCTTTGGGCAACCAGACTGGACAAGTAGGAGAGCCTCTCAGGGTCCTTAGCCGCCATGTTAATGACAGTGTTGGCCCACGAAGAAGAAGGACTGGGAGGGTTGAACGGCGAGCATTTGCCGTAGATGTGAATGACTGAGAGGTCGCCGGAATCGCCTTTGTCTGAACCACAAGAATCAAACGCAACGGCTGTTGTTGAAAGAAGAGTGACAGTGACGAGAAGTGTCACAATAACTCCGGCGGCCATGGTTTTGATTTTCTCTTTTAATTTGCCGGAAATGATGTGAATATCTGAAACAAGAAATCTAGCTATATATATATATATACACACACACCATAGATAGATGTCATATGAAAATATTATAATAGTTGATATATATTGCACATATTGTTCGAGCTACTCTTGGTCATACTAAGATCATTGAATAATGGAGTTAATTAGTTGTATATTGTGGGCTAAATAACTAAGCTAATAGTATTTTGAGGGTAATTAACAGAGGGATGATGGTTGAAATTATTGCAGCAGTATCCAACATTTCACGTGAAGATCTCTCCTTTTTCTTTTGTTTTTTTGGTTAATCATTGATGAATACAGATAATATGAGTAGGCTCAGCTCCAAAGAACTGTATCAGAAAGTCATGAAGGTGTGGGTCATCGATCAAAATGAACAAATAAAAATAAATGTTCACATTAAGACGAAGATCAGATGGATCAGATCGATCAGATTAACCAGAAGAGATTCATCACATGATGATGATGAGTCCTTGCGTTTAACATATATGGACAAAACAACATCTTTGGTTATCAACCCAACGTTAAATTAGCAAAAGAATCCAAATGTTTTGTTTTTTTTTTTTTTTTGGATATATTAGGTATCTCAACTCATGTCAGACTAATCTTAAACCCTTAGAGTTTCTACTCAAGAGGGTGGGATCGGAGGAGATAAATTGTTAGTCCTTGAGTATAAGGGGTCTTCATCTCTTCTAATAAGTTTAGTCTCCTAATGACCCACTAAATTCTTTGTGGGATTATTCGAACCCCTACACTGTTGCTGGGACGAGACATAATTTGATCAGTCGAACCAACTGATGTAGCCCAGTGGACATCCAACTATTTTGTTTTGGTGATGAGGATAATTTGTAACCGGTATAAGTGTGCACAAGAGTATGTATTGGGTGAATATTTAATTTGTGTGACTATCTCGACCACCAAGAGGATGTCGTAAGAATTCATGAACTAGTGACCTCAAATACTAAAATCATGTTTCACTCAGGACAAGAATCCAAATGTTTTGTTTTGTATTATTATGGAATTAATGTTGGGATTTAATAATGTGATGACAGGAAAATAGGAAGCTGTTATTGTAAGTTTAGGGAATAATAGAGATCAGAGGCTCGTGCGCCAAAAATCTTGTGATCAAATAACATAATTATAACTCTCTCAAATAAAAAGTCATAGATTCAAATCCCGATCGAAGAATTGACTATTCGTGCTTTACTGCTTCAATAGGATAATACTCAAAAAAAAAAACATAATACTCAAAAAAAAAAAAAAAAAAAAAAAAAGAGGAAGAAGTAGAGAGGCTCGTGAGTGGTGAATCCTCATCAATTTTGTCAGCTTACAAAAGAGGGGGCAAGTGGTTGTTTGTCCATAGGCAAAAAGCAGGAATAAAATGGGGTATGTCATCACGGGTTTCCCATCCTTTTTTATCCGTTGGGAATTTAAATAAAAGGATCATTGTAATGTGATGTTTGAGAGTGACTCATAAATCGTTACAGAAAAGATAATTAATGAATAAAATGTTAAGAGATTTTTCATTCTATATTGTATCTTTTAAACTTTTTAAGAGAAATCGAGAGTTGTCACGTTAGTGACACACATATCTCAGGCACCTTGACACTGTTCTTTAGTGTTTAACATAGTTCTGAATAGTAACCTATGAGAATTAACTCCAGAGATGGTATCAATTTAGTTTTGAGAACCTGAAGTATACAAATGGTAGTGTAATAATCAATACATTATAATTAGTTGTATAAGAAATTTAGGGATCTGATTCTGAGTGTTATGGAGCTAGAGATTATTTAATTTGATAATTATATTGATTATATTAATTAGCAATAATTGAAGCTCCTAATTTGAACATGACCTGCTTCTCTGGCATCAAACACGTACAGGAGTATTCGAATCTTCAAGTACTATAACCCACATATATATATTTGCATACACACACAATCAGCCAATCACGTGGTGTATGTATAACTATTCTAAATTAAGCTAAACATTGTGATTAGATTCTTTATATGTTCGTAGGCTAGGCATCCATGTATGTGTTGCTGTTGCGGGATCCATGGGAGTTGCTTGATCTTACCATCTTCTTCTTTGTGTGATATAAAATATAAAGTTGTTTTGCTGCTTGAGGATTTGTTATTCGGCTCTCAATGAAAGCACCAATGACGGTAAATAAGCTACCAAAATAATTATAGAAAGTAGTTTTGTTATAAGTATATTGTCAAAGTGTTTTCAGTACAAGAATCAGAGTGTGTTCCCTACTGCTAGAGGCTTGGTCTTTATACTAGTGGTAATGGTTACAATATTAATGGGTACAACGGCTCCCCTTACTAAGTATTGCGATTTTTTAGTAATTGATGTGGGCTCCCCTTCATAAGTGCGTTGGCGCTCCATCACTCTTGCTCATTGATGAGGCGATAATGCTTTAAATAATGAGTGTGTGGGCTCTTGCAACGTTCCATCTGCTTTGCTCTTAGCGGTTACTGTTTGATTGCCGTAATTGCCTTTGACGAGTCGGGTACCATCCCTTTCAATTATGTTTTAATACTTTAGCTTTGCTAATCGGAATATGTTAAAGCACACTCCAAACTTGATTTGATGTTGTCTACATATATATAGTGTTGGGCTTAATTATTAGTTGAAATATCAATAATTTAATTAAATAATTGTTTAGGGACAAGGCATGTTTGTTTGCTCAATTTGGTATGATTCTTCATTGATCTATCATCCATGACCATTGAAAAATGAAAACCATTTATTTTAAAATAAAAAAATAAAAAAAAATTAGCAAGAAAATATGTTTATTAATTAATGCAGCCACCACAGCATTATAGAAAATTAGTTTCTTCTGCTACTAAAAGAGTGATTGAGTGAGTAAATATAATTCTAATATCAGAAAGCTAAGTATCGCATAAGACGATTTTCTAATGTGATTTACTGGTTTACCTCTCTTATATGATTTGTAAGTTATTATTCAATAATAACATAATTTATAAGTTTACACCCTCATATAATGGTCACAATTTTCCTCATCATCCATAGAAATTAAATCAATTTGCTTCATCATAAACAAATTAAAAATTAATTTTTTTTATTGCTAATCTAAATTAAAGAAGTCAGGAATATATGCAAGTGCAAGTGGTAGGGTGTTGGGTGGTCATCTAAGGTGGCATTTGATCATTTATGCAATAAGGCAATGATATACAGCCAGGTGAGCTACATGCCGTTATGTCCATATGAAAATAAAGGGATTTTTGGTCATGAATTTAAACGTTATTACAAGTAATTTTAACAATCATGGTGTACATATTAGTGTCTTTATTTTTGTACGTAAAGATGTTGATGTTAGTTGTTTATATATTATTTGAATATTTGTGATTAGTTGATATTGTAATTATAATAGATAAATTGAATACTTGCTTATTTGATTTTTTTTTTATATAAAAATGAATAAGGATTAAATATGCCACCGAACGGTACACGATAATACAATTAGGTCACTGACCTTTAAAAAAAATATATAATTGAATCCCTAAACTAACTTATTTCATGCAATTCG